TTTTATTACCAAACAATAAAAATAAAAGAAAGTTTACGGTATCCAAAAACCGTGATTCGACGGATTTTTAAAAAAAAATTAAATTCTAACGGGTTTCCAAAAAAAAAAAAAACGGGATACGTTCCAGGATTTTACACGAATTTTCTGGAATCTTTTTAAAAAAAAAAACGAAGCGCATCCATTTTAATTCATTTTCAGGTGTTTAAAAACGACTCCATGTTTTCTCTCTCTCTCTCTTCAAATTCTCAGATTTCAATTTTTACTTAAATTACCAACAAAAAAAAAAAAATCTTTTATTGTTGTTATAAATAATAATAATAATATTAATAATAATAATAATAATTCGAATCGAATTCGTCTTCACTTTTGCAAATGTTTCACTATCTGGCTTATTGACCGACTTTATCATCATCATCATCATTTTAAAATGACGTCTGCTTTGTACCTATTTCTTTTCTCGTGATTTTCCCCATTGTTTATTTAATAAAAAAAATTCACGAATTGTTTATAATAATAATAATATTAAAAACCTCTTAAAACCACTTTAAACAATTTTTTTTTTTTTTTTTTAGAAAATCAGTCAACCGTTTACTTTCGTTTCCTTTACGAAATTTTTTTTTTTATTTAATTTAAATTTTATTATTATTATTATTATTATTATTATTATTATTATTATTATTATTATTATTATTATTATTATTATTATTATTATTATTATTACGTAATTCGTCATTATTATTACGTCATCGAGGTTTTTTTCTTTTCGAATTTTTAATTATTCGTAAAAATAATAGTAGGAAGTTAATAATTAAAAAAAAATTATAATAAAAAATTTAATTATTTTTTGTAAAATTCTCGTAACGGTTTTTTTCGTTTGTTTGTTTGTTTTGTTAAGATACCCTATCGTATGAAAATTGTTCTCACCTCTATCCCTCCCCCTGGGACTCCCACATTAATTATTTAAATATCGTTTCCCCCCCTCCGTTAATTACTCTCCACTTATTTATATATGTGTTTCATCCGCCATCTTTTTTTTTTTTTTTGTTCATCACATTTGAAATTCTAATAAAGTCTTTTTAAAAATCCCGAACGATAAAATTTTTTTTTTTTTTGATTTTTTATTAAAAAGTAATTTGAGATTTTTTATTTCCCCCCTCTTTAACTTTCACCCTCCCCCTCTCTCTCTTTTCATTAATTTACGTAAATTATTTCGGTTGGAAAAAAAAAACCGAAAAATGAATATTTTTAAATTAAACTTTATTATTATTATTATTATGTGAAAACAAAATGTCACACGAGTAAATATCTATGTTGTTGTAAATAGTATGTTATTATTATTATTATTATTTAATTTATAAAAATGCAAATTTCAATATTATTATTATTATGATTAAACAAAAAAATATAAAAAAAAACTTGATTTAATTGATTAGGCTCCCCCATTTTTTTTTCGAATTAACAACAAACCGGTAATTATAAATGTTATAAACAATTAATTTTTTATTATAAATGTTTAAATAAATAAAAAATATTTTTATTATTATCTAATGACACGATTAATATTATTATTATTATTTGTTTGTTTTTTTTTTTTGCTTTTCCACGTGCTTTTTTTTTATGTAAATTTTTTTTTATTATAAGTAATTAATTAATTATTAATACTAAAATTTATTAATTGATTTTATTAAACGATAATTGATAATTTATTTATCAGGTTCGATTTAATAAATTGATGATGATGATGATGATGATGATAATAATAATAAACAGAAAGTTATCGAGAACCGTCCGGAAAATTTTTTTTTTTTTTAATCAAGTTTTGCGAATCAAGGAAAATTTCCATAAAACCGTTAATTTTTTATTATTTTTCTCATCGATTTTCTTTCTTTTTCTCCTTCTTTCTCCTACCCCCTCTCACCGCTACCCCCTCCAAAGAAAAAAAATTGTAATTTTCGTAGTTTTTTTTCTCATCTCTCCTCCAACCCCCCGCCCCATCAATCTTCGGCTTAAGTTTTTTTATATATTTTCCGATATGAATTATTTTTTTTTATAAATTGAAAATTAATATTTTCTATATATATATTTTTAATATTAAATTGTAATATGACTAAACTCAATAAAAACGTTATTATTATTATTATTATTATTATTATTATTATTATTATTATTAATATTTTGACGAATAATGTGTAAAATCGGATTAACGAAACATTTTACACGATTCAACTTCCGTTTTAATAATAATAATAATAATAATAAAAGCAATAAAAGATTATAAAATTTTCATAAAATGAATATTTTTCCGAAAAAAATGGGGAAAAGGGGAGGGAAGGGGGAGGAGAGAGGGGAGGGGAAAAGGAAAAAAAATTAATATATGCATGTATATATATTTACGCGGATAATGATAATAATGATTTCCTATTCCATCTTTTTAAAATAATTTTCAATTTAAAAAAGGAAATTTAATTTTTCTTTTTCTAATAATAATAATAATAATAATAATAATAATAATAATAATAATATTTTGTCTCTTCCGTAATAAAAAAAATTTTTTTTTTTTTTTATGTAAATTTTATAAAAACAATTTAATTTATTATTATTATTATTATTATTATTAAAATTTATTTATTCAAATGGATTACTATTATTATTATCACCATCACCACCACCACAACCCCCACCCCTCCCACCGCGTCATTATCTTTGTTTAATAAATAATTTAAAGAGTAGTAATCTCGTTATTTAAATTGTTCAGAATGATTCGAAACGCAACGACAACAACAACAAAAAGGTTTTCATTTATTTTTAATGCTTCGAATGAGTTTTCTCATGTTTTCAAACAAATCATTAAGT